GGTGTGGGTGTGGGTGTGGGTGTGGGTGTGGGTGTGGGTGTGGGTGTAGGTGTGGGTGTGGGTGTGGGTGTGGGTGTAGGTGCGGGTATTTTATTTCAACCACATTCAAACACCCACACCTTTTTGCATCCTATCTGAAATTCCTGTCAAAATCTTTGACTAGATATATACTTTGTTTTCGATTTTCATTTTTCTTCAATAGTTCCTAATTGAAAATAGAATTCTACAATGATTATGAAATTTCATGCTTAGGCAAGGTAAATTCACAACCAAACGAATACAACACATTAGGTGTTGGAGTTTTAAAACATAAGACGAAGTCCATGATACAATAAAAAGAGAAAAACTATATATTGCAAAACTGCAATATACTGAGTGGTTACATATATCAACCAATCATAAGAATATGTAATTTCACTTGCAAAATTGACTATATCTTTGGCAATCAATGATTCATGGTATACATTTTGTTTTTATTAATAATAATGACACCTAGAAAAGATACTATTTCATTCTAACCGTACGTAATGAAGATTACAGGCATTGATATAATTTATTTAAATAGATAAAAAGAAAAATGAGTAATTCCTTTGCTGAACAATTGGCAAATGCGAAATTAAAACCAAGTAAAAATAAAACGAAGGATTTTAGTGATCCTAAACTAGCAGGTAAATTTAAAATTGATATTTCATTCATTTATATATTAATAACATCATTTAGGTTTTATCACAAAAGATCAAATAAGTGCATATCAAAAAACTGCATTAGAAGCTAATATGGAAGAATGGCAAATGTTACTGGCTAATGGTAAAGATATAAATTTTCTTTTGATATATTCAATGATCAATTTTAGAAACATTTCCTACAACTTATGTTCCAATAACATATTCAGATGCCAAGTGCTTTATTAAAATATTCGAAAAATATTTTCAAAAATTACATGAACAACAATTATTTGAACAAATACGAGATCGAAGAGATACTTGGTTAAATGATAATGAAGATGAAAAACAATGGTATGAACAATTAAAAGAACGTCTTCAAAAAACAATGGATCAAGCTTTTCCAAATAATAATAATGGTTTTTTTGCTAAAACATCATCACGTAGTGCAAAAGATGCTTGTATATTTAGAAAAGATTTTCTGGATATTTATAAAAATGAATTAACAAAATTTTCTGATCCATCACAAGAAAATTCACGTATTATTGCACTTTTAAATGCTGCTTTTTTATCATTACGTGTAACATGTGCTGCAGATATCCTTTCAATGTTTGTTATTAGTGAACG